GTTCTCAGTGATCGCTTTACACGCCGTTAGAAAAACTAGTTAAAAGCACGTTTTTGTTGCGCGCCTGAACAAGCAACAAGAGTTTGACCACAAGAGGGCGCGACCACAGCAGGAAATTAGGGAAGAAGCGGCCAAACGCTCCACATGCAGCAGGTCCTTTGGGTTAGCCGGGACAGTCCCTGCCTTGTCACAGTATGGGTGATCCAGCCGTGCTCGCACGCTTGCTCTTTTTTTATCCCAGATGCAGCTTATCTGGGCTCCTGACTTTGCCGTGCCTGTTTTCTTTAGGTTGCAATCGAGTTTGATCAGAACGTGTCTATCGCTTTCACGTGTCGCAGCGCGGACTGCAAAATCATCCACGAGTACATCGGGGGCTACATCTTCCTGTCGACCCGTTCCAAAGATCAGAACGAAACGCTGGATGAAGATCTGTTCCATAAACTAACTGGAGGTCAGGAATGAGGGGAGCTACACTCTCTTCCCGCTGCCCCACAGCTAAGGCCAAAGATTAAACAAAAATTTCTCATTGTTAATTGCTAACTGATAAATCTTGTGCATGTCAATCCATCCTGTAATATGGCTGGACTATTTACATTTTTTCTTAAATACTGAAGCCGAGGTCAGTGGATGCAGTATGGCAACTCCATCATCAACACCATGAAAATTAAATCTTCTGTCTTTTCTTTTTGTACAGCTAAATTTTTTTAAATAAACAGTGGGTGGTTTTGAATCTAGTATTTTTAATTGCAGCAATCTGTTTAAGCATCCAGAGCAAGTAACCTGAGGATACTGTACAGCACATTTTCTTCTCTGTTACAGCTGTTAAACTGGCCATTGTTAAAAAGGCCAGCATTTAACAGCACTAAAGCTGAATAAATACATATTGTAAAGCTATATTACTTGTTTAACACTTGCACTGGGAACAGAAAACATTCCATCCATGCTTCAAAGTCCTGCAGACTGAGCTATCACAACCCAAGTAGTGATTACACAGTTGTCAAAAAATGTAGCACACCTGTGTCTACCTCAGTCCACTTAACTAGTTCCCTTAAAGCCAGAGAAGCTACCAGACACCTAAAACAAAGCATTGCACATTGGCAAAACTGGAATGAAAATGCTGATCTTTTGAGGAACTTTGTTAATTTCCAGGTTAAAAAAATGCTTTAGGTACTAAATAAAATTATTTGCTGATTAGAATGTAGGCCTCTGAGTGTAGGCCTTTCTATTTTCTGTCTTGGCTACTCTGTTTCACTGTGACATCTAACTCTTAAGTTGAGTAAGGAGCTAAAATGCCTGTAGAAATTATTCTACTGATGTATGAAAAGCAGAATACAAAGAGATTGCTCAGTGAAACTGTCTGAGGGGCCAGATCTGTAGCAGCCAGCTCTGCCTGCTGGAGAGAGCCACACACATCTATCAAGTTGAAAGACATTTGGTTCTGCCCTGCAATGCATCATGATCAGTAAAGCAAGGAGAGCATGACACTAGGAGGATCCATGAAACTGCTGGATGAACCAAAACTGGTTTCACATATCTAAAGAAATACGATGGATGGATGTTGTCATATCACCAAGAGATGTTGCAGAAACCACTGCACAATTCTTAACCATCCCAGGGACTGGATAGCCCTGGCTTTTCTATCACATCCTCTACTTTTTTCCTGTGCCTATTGGTAGGCTGCTATGGAATTGCTCCCAATTTGTGCAATTTTAAATATTTTGCAAAAAAGCAAGCCAAAACAGCCTACTTCTCTCCCCAGTACTTTTTACACCAGGGCTGAGGGACAATCCAGTTCTCCTTTAGGAGAGGCCTTTCCCACTTCCCATTTGCTTGACATAAGCCAAGTATTTCCCTCAGTGTTGAGAACCACACAGAATCACAGAATCATAGAATTGTCAAGGGTGGAAAAGACCTTCAAGATCATGAAGTCCAACCATCCTCCCTACAACCCATAACCACTAAACCATCTCCTGAAACAACACATCTACCCCTTTCTTGAACATCTCTGGGAATGGTGGTGCCACCACCTCCCTGGGCAGCCTGTTCCAATGCCTCACCACTCTGAAACTTTTTTTCCTAATATCCATCTGAACCTCCCCTGGTGAAACTTGACCCCATTTCCTATTGTCCTATAGCTGGTAACCAGGGAGAAGAGGCCAACACCCACATCCCCACAACCTCCTTTCAGGTACCTGTAGAGAGCAATGAGGTCTCCCCTCAGCCTCCTCTTCTCCAGGCTGAACAGCTCCAGCTCCCTTAGCCTCTCCTCATAAGACCTGTTCTCCAGACCCCTAATCAGCCCAGCTGCCCTTCTCTGCACCCTCTCCAGCACCTCAGTGTCCTTCCTGCATTGTGGTGCCCAGAACTGCACACAGCTCTGAAGGTGTGGCCTCACTAAGCCCAAGTACAGGAGCAGGATCACCTCCCTGCTCCTGCTGGCCATGCTATTCCTGATGCAGGCCAGGATGCCACAGGCTTTCTTGGCCGCCTGGGCACACTGCTGGCTCATGTTCAGCCCTCTGTCAATCAGCACCCCCAGGTCATCCTCTGCTTTGCAGCTCTCCAGCCACTCCTCCCCAAGCCTGTTGTGCTACTGGGGTTGTTGTGGCTGAAGTGCAGGACCCGACATCTGGCCTCATTGAAACCCATGCCACTCACCTCAGCCCATTGATCAAGCCTGTCTAGATCCTTCTGCAGAGCCTCCCTGCTCTCAAGCAGATCAACACTTCCACCCAGCTTAATGTCATCTGCAAACTTACTGAGGGTTCACTCTATCCCCTCATCCAAGTCATCAATAAAGATGTTAAACAGGAGTGATAAGGGATAGTCCAAGTCCAAACACTTGCACTATTTAAAACCTGCCCAAAGGTGCCATGTGAAAGCTGAACACACGTCAGTGCCAGCACTTCATCCACAGGTAGCCTTCTTCAGACTCAGCCTCCACTTTGGCTTTGCAGTGAGGAGCATGACCCTGCCCGCATTAGAGCCCCTCATTTGGGAATGATTACACTCTTGCTGCCCTGGGGGCAGAGTTTGCCATGCTCTGCTGCAGGGAAGCCCTGTAGTTGCAAACCAGTCTCTAAGTGATCTGAATACACCAATGCAGAAACACAAGAACTACGAAGTTCCTATTAGTAAGCGTGCAGCTCATTTTACTGCTAAGCAAACACCCCTACTTGCAGCCCAAGTTGTCTGAACTGGGATTTCAGAGAAAGTCAAATATTTACATTTTCTTTCCTGCCCCTCCCTCAGTCTCACTCCATGTGTCACTGTCTTTCCAGTGAAGACTTCTGCTGCTCTGCACAAGGAGCTCTGCCAGCTCATCCTGCCTGCCTGCGAGCCCCACCCTTGTCATTGCAGCTTTACGGGACTCATCCTTGCCGCTGTCCTCTCTCCATGTTTGGATCATCAGCTCTCTCCTTGCTCCAATCACTCTGCAGGGCTTTTTCATGACATGTAAGGAACACTTAGGAAAGAAATGTGGTTTTATCCACCTGCTTTCAGTGCTACATGTGACTGTAGCTCTGCTTCCTATAAGCAGCCCCTGGAAAGGTGGGAGCAGGAAGGCACGACCCAGGCCAACTCCGTAATTTCAGGCTGGATACAGCTCCTGAAAGGAGGCCTGCACCAGCCTGCTCTGCCTGGCACCTGCACCAGCCACAGCATGGAGTTGTCTTTCATTCCACTCCACACCACAAACATGTTCCAGCCAGAGTCCAGACGTTCCCCTTACTGCACAGGGGTACCACACCCTCACTTACTCATGCAATAGCCCGATTAGACTCGGCTTTCTGTTCTTTGTACCACCTGATTTACACACCGGGTTAAAGATCACAGGGTCAGTGATCGGTAGTAACAGTTATTAATTGCCTGGTGCTAGATGTGTGAGATGTTTTACAGAGAGAGTGAAAGCAGGACAAGGGCGGCTGCCTTGAGATTTCACAACGCAGAGACAAAATGCTGGTCAGGAATGTTGTTCAGAAGAAAACAGAAACCTTTAGGAAACAAGTACCGCAGCTCAGCTACAACCTTGTTCTGTACATGGTGCTTAATTAAACCCCAGTCAGGTCAGGGTAAAACACTACCTGTGTCATATGGCTGCTGTCTGTTCTTACAACAAATCAGAAAATGGTTTGTGTTGGAAGGGACCTTAAAGATCATCTAGTTCCAACCCCCTGCCATGGGCAAGGACACTTCCCACTAGACCAGGTTGCTCCAAGCCCCATCCAGCTTGGCCTTGAACACTTCCAAGGATGGGGCAGCCACAACTTCCCTGGGCAACCTTGTGTTGGTGTTTCACCACCCTCACAGGAAGTAATTTCTTCCTAATATCCAGTCTAAATCTCCCTTCTTTCAGTTTAAAACTATTCCCCCTTGTCCTATAACTACACGCCCATCTAAAAAGTCCCACTCCAGCTTTCCTGTAGCCCCTTCAGGTACTGAAATTCCATAGGAGATTTCACCCCTGTCTTCAGCATATATTACTGCAGCAGCCAACTCACACACCCCATAGTTTTCTGAAACCTCAGGCTAAATAATTCTGTTCTTGCACTCTCTCTTGAAAATTACTTGCTTGTGCTTGCTCTGTGAACTGTCCTGCAAAATTCTTTTGCTGGCCTTAAAAGCCATTCTCCAGATTTTTCCAGGGTAGTTTCATTCTTAACCATCACTTGGATCATGGCCAGCAAGAAACATTCACCTCTTAAACTTTACAGCCTGGTACCTTTCTCGCCTTCTGCTCTCCCTGTGCTCTGCTTATCTTGATGTCACTAAGGAATGCGGGGCTCATCCCTG